CCATCCTCTGCTGCCCAGAGGCTTTTAGATCATCTTCATGGAGTTGGGAAAGGTGCCCCGGTAGCCTAATGGACCACACGTTGGGCTGCCACCCGCTCAGCCAGCAGTTCACACCACCAGCCATTCTGCAGGAGCACGCGCGTGCTCTCCATCGACAAAGACTGGTCGTCTCAGACACCCAGAGGGACCGTTCTCCTGTGCCCCACAGGGTCCCAGCAAGTCCGAATGGACTCAGTGGTAGTGAGTTTAGTTTGGGGTAATGAAGGTGGGAAATTGACCTCAACAATTTGGGGTAAATGTTCACTACCAAGGTGGAAACAAAGTGGTTTCTTGGTTGACTAGAGAATTCAGCGACACCCCAGTTTGTTGTCTGGGCTTTTCAGGTAATGAGTTTGAGGCCAGAGAAGGAGACACTGGGAGGAAGAGCAAGGAACGGTAGGGAAGTCAGGCTCCGGGCTAGGTACCTGCGAGACAAAGTTGGGGAAAGTCATTGTAGCTCCCCTGGGACTTTCTGGCTTGCTGAGGAGTGAGGAAAGTGGTCAGGCCAGCGTAGGGTGATGTACTGTGGTAGGGGGCAAGCAGGACCTGTGGGAGGGAGCCTATAGCTGGCACAACCTATCCAAGCGGAGGCATCAGGGAAGGCTTCCTGGAGGAGGAGACTTCCAAGTCAAGATCGGATGACACAGAGGAATTAGTGAAGCCATGGACAAGGGTAGGGGGATGAGGGGGTAAGGAAAGGTTATCAGGCAGAGATAACAGCTTGAGTAAAGGCCTGAGGTGAGAGAGAAGATACAGTTAGGATGCTGGTGAGAGATAAGGGGATCCTTCAGGTTGCACGATCTTTGTACAAAGAGAAAGGGAAAGGGATGCAGGGGGTGGTGGCAGAGACCTCCCTCCAAGGCTTTGGGTCCCTGTTGATGGCTCTCAGACTCAGGCTCTAAGGGCCCACGGGAGCAGGGGTGGCACCTGGCTCAAGCCCTCCCTGCAGGGCCGGGGTCACGGAATGTGTGCAGAGAAGCCGACAGCTCTTCTCTCCACGGCTGTGACAGCTGCCGTGTGGGGACCTGTGAGCGGTCCCTGAGGTCAACTTGGTGCCAGCTCAGGTACTGGGGGCCTCGGGCCTGGGCACTGCAGGTGGGCATCTCAGAAATGCTTATGTGATGACCACGAGAGTGGCGGTTCTGGCCCAGATCTAACAGGTTACACAGAAACGAACGGCAGGGGTGCATTTTCAGAAGGCCAACCTATATTTTTATGACAGAGAAGTGTTTTGAGGCCCTCTGACCGGGAGGAAGCAGACTCACCTAGGCTCATGGGTCCATCGCTGCGTGGTCCCCTCGGATGGCCTGCAGTGAGAGCTCATAGCCAAGGAACATGGCCGCACTCATGGGGAATCCCCGCACAGCGTTCACAGTGATGCCCCTGAAAAACACCTTTGCACGGGAGGCTAGATTATGACCATGGCCTGACCCTCACTCTCCTTGGCCACCTCTGTAGGGCACAGGAAGGCAGGCGCTGCTATGCCACACCCTTGTCTTGGGTTGGACCCCAGAGCCCAAAGTGCCTGTTCAGGTGGAGACTACACAAGGGCACTCCAATTGTCTCCTTCCAGGATCCGTGTCATGTCCGATGGCTCTTTTTCTCCCAGGCCCAGGCGTTGCCATAGACAAACTGCTGAAGGCCATGTGGACTTGCTGAATGGCTCTTTCTCTCACTCACACGCACCACACTGTTCTCGAGAATCCTAACCCTGCCCTCTGCTCACTACACAAGGATGGATAGAGGACCAGTCATGGCAGGACCAGCCACTGCCCCAGTGTGTCACGATACAGCCCCAACGTGGCAGCCCGGGAATGC